CCAGTGGAGGGCATGCAGGAGGCAGCCGATCAATGAATGATTCTCATCATTGATGTTTCTATCTCTCCTCTCCCTTCCTCTCTGAAATCAATAAAAATGTATCCTATATAATAAAGAGCTAATATGCTAATTAGACCATATGGAGGAACAACCTTCCAGAATGACCAGTGGGCAGGGCCATGGGGCCATGAGGCAGCTGGGGCTGTGAGGGCTGAGCTCCTTGCATGAATTTCATGCATCATGCCTCTAGTTTTAAAATAAAGTAAAATACTAAAGATTAAAAAGGAAACAAAATCTTGCCTGTGGTGTGTAGATGAGGATTAATTTCAATGGCTCACTAATAAGAAGGAGCATCTGGGCAGCCTGCCCCGTTTGCTGCCTTCTGTAGCTCTAAGCCTCACTGCAACCTTCAATGGCACCAGCCATGTAAATCTCAGAACCACCTTAGGAAATGGATACTGTGTGTTTTATTAATTTCAAAGCACACATCCCCCCATCCCTGCATTTTAACCCCTGAAATGATCTCCTGATAAATGGACAATGGGTATTATTTATTTTATTTAAATTCTTTATTGTTGAAAGTATTACATATGTCTCCTTTTCCCCCATTGACTTCTCCCTGCCCACACCCGCCCCCAGCACAGGCCCTCAGCCCCCTACTGTCTGTGTCCATTGGTTATGCTTATATGCATGCATACAAGTCCTTTGGTTGGTCTCTTACCCCATGCCCCCGTATTCTTTCTTAATGGTATATAAAATAATGCTCCTGCCCTGGCTGGTTTGGCTCTGTGGATGGAGTGTCGGCCTGCAAACTAGAGGGTCCCCAGTTCGATTCTGGTCAAGGGCACATGCCTGGGTTGCTGGCTTGGTCCCCAGTGGGAGGCATGCAGGAGGCTGCTTTAAGCCACTGAATTGGGGGTAACTTGTTATGCAGCCGTGGACAAGTAATAGTCTCCAATATTTAAGATCAAGTATTTACTCTCCTGCCCTGGGGACAGAGGGAGGAAGGAGAGTTGTCCTGGCCTCTAAGGGACACACAGTATGTGGTTGCTGCTATTCCGCGTATTTGGTTGGCTGCGGAGGAAACTGCCTCCCTGACCCCGGCTGAAAGGTCAGGCGGGCTCCCAGGGGAGGTGTCACGCTGCAGGGTCTGGAAAGATGAGTAAGAACTTGCCAGGTGAGAAAGGCAGGGAGGAGGGGGGAAAGAAAACACACATTTCTCCTTGTCCTCCGGAGATTTGGGAAGTTGTCGTAAAATCACACACTTGGCAAGAGGGTGTGCAGCAGCTACATGCCTGACGCAAGAGCATGATTCACCCCAAGGCTCTTAAAAGTGTGTGAGTCAGCAAGCTCCTCCCTGCGCAGACTTCGGGACGGTGGGGATTTGATTTGGCTCTGAGGGCACTGGAGATTGTGTAATGGTTTTGTTGCTTTTTAACCAGGCAGGGGTTTAGCCTTTAGGGGCGTGGTCAGGGATGGAATGAAGAGGCCTGGGTGTGGATCTCAGCCCACCTTTGGGACGGGACGGGGCAGAAGGCCAAGGCCCCCTTTCTCCATTCTCCTCTTCACACTGGCCCTGTCTTCGTTCTTCCGGCTGGGAACCGAGCCTGGTGGATGTTAAGAGCCCTTTCATCCCAGGATGGCCTAGAGCAGTGATGGCGAACCTATGACACGCGTGTCAGAGGTGGCACGCGAACTCATTTTTTTGGTTGATTTTTCTTTGTTAAATGGCACTTAAATATATAAAATAAATATCAAAAATATAAGTCTTTGTTTTACTATGGTTGCAAATATCAAAAAATTTCTCTATGTGACACGGCACCAGAGTTAAGTTAGGGTTTTTCAAAATGCTGACACGCCGAGCTCAAAAGGTTCGCCATCACTGGCCTAGAGAGTGAGACCGAGGAAAAAGAGCAAGGCCAGACCCGGGAGAAGCCTGAGATGAGGCAGGAGTTGCAGCCAGCACTTCCCCGGCCCCAGACAGGGGTGCCCTGTGCAGCGGCCCAGACAGAGTGGAGGCCGGACCCCTGGCTTCAAGTTCTGCCTCTGCCGCCAACACGGGCAGAGGGCAGAGTGGTTGCAGCATTGGGCCCCAAAGCCAGGCTGAGCCAGGCAGGAGTCCCAGCTCTGCCTCCTCCTGGGCACACTCTCTGGCCAGGTGCCTGATCTCTCTGGGCCTCAGTGTCCTGATCTTTACAAGAGGGATAGCAATGCCCACCTCATAGGACTTTTGTGAGATTTAAATGAAATACATGGAGGAACCAATAAAAATGCTCAGAAAATAGTAGTTAAAGCAAAAAGAAGTATGGACCAGATGTGCGAGGTACCTTTCAGACCTCAAATTCTATGATTCTGAGGATTTGCTGGGCGGCCCGAGCACATTTCTCTTGTGCCTGTCTTGGGAGAAAGAAAGGCTACTAATAGTCTCCCTTTTGGAAACACCCCCATTCATGATTTTATTTGATTTTTCACAACAACCCATTTTACAGATAACAAGACTGACTGAGAGGGGAAGGGATTTGCCCGAGATAATAAGTATCACCAACTCACTATTTTTTAATTAATGTTTTTATTGGTTTCAGGGAGAGAAAGGGAGAGGAAGAGGTAGAAACATCAATGATGAGAGAGAATCACTGATAGGCTGCCCTCCTGCACGTGCCACACTGGATATTAAGCCGACAACCCAGGCAGGTGCCCTGACCGGGAATCAAACTCTGACCTCCTGGTTAATAGGTCGATGCTCAATCACTGAGCCCAACTCACCTTTTTTAAAAAAAAAAAATTTATTTGTTGATTTTAGAGAGGGAGGAAGGGAGAGGAAGAGAAACATCAATTTGTTATTCCATTTATTTATGCATTCATTGGTTGATTCTTGTATATGCACTGACTGACCAGGGATCAAACCTGAAACCTTGGTGTGTTGGATGACGCTCTAACCAACTGAGCTACCTGGCCAGGGCCTCACCAACTCACTTTTACTGAGTGCCCTCTATGCTCCTGTGGGTGCAGCATTATCATATTTAATCTCCTGCCTGATGGTGGGACAAAAGTGTAATGGCCACCATGAGGAGAAGGTCTCTTCAGAGTGAAAGATGAAGCAAACAACTCCATAGACTATAACAAAATTTTTTTACGGGATAATTTACTTTCAGGGCAATTGGGTAGAGCAGACAGAAGGCCCAGCATGCACATTATTCTGCAATTAGAGGCCCGGTGCACAAATTTGTGCACCAGTGGGATCCCTCAGCCTGGCCTGTGGGATCAGGCTGAAACCAGCTCTCTGACATCCCCTGAGGGGTCCTGGATTGAGAGAGAGTGCAGGCCAGGCTGAGGGACCTCACCAGTGCACGACTAGCACCAGGGAGGGACGCAGGAGGTTGGCCAGCCAGGAGGGACCACAGGAGGGCTCCAGAGCGTGCCTGGCCCATTCAATCCCAATCGGCTGGACCCCAGCAGTAAGCTAACCTACCAGTCAGAGCGTCTGCCCCCTGGTGGTCAGTGCACATCATAGCGAGCAATTGAGCGGCCTTAGCATATCATTAGCATATTATGCTTTGAATGGTTGAACAGATGACCGGACACTTAGCATATTAGGCTTTTATTATATAGGATAAACACCCCCATGCAAATTATTCTCCAATAAAGACTCCCGTTACTGTACTGTTTTATAATATAACGCAGGTACTATTGGTTGACAAGACAAAGGGACAAAGAATGCAGCAGCCTGTGGAACTGTCACCAGGCTGACAGTCATCCTGGCCATTACTAACAAAAGTATTTACATTCTGTTTTAAGGAACACAGAAGGCTTTGATGTGCTTACTAAGGACGGCGGTTGGTCAAAGGCCACCTCCCGAAAGGACACAAAGTGATGGAGATGGTGTTTGTTCACCTCTACATCTGTACATCCTCACAACAGTTCCCTGAGTTACTTGTCCCTGTTACAAGTGAGGAAGCTGGGAGGAGGTGCCCAGGGTGGCACAGCCGCAGTGATGGAGCTGCTGTTCCCCCAGAGGCAGCTGCTCCTCGGGACCGGAGCTCTTACCTCTGTTCTCTGCTGGAGAATTAGGGGGCAGGGCGAGGCCTGGAAAAGTCCAAGTCTCCTGACCCCCAGCCTAGAGCTGGCCTGCTTCTTTTTATAAAATTTCTAATTGCGGTAAAATATACAAAAACATAAAGTTTACCACCCCAGCTATTTTTATGTACAATTCAGTAATGTTACATTCACACTACTGTGCAACCAATCTCCAGAACTTTTTTTAAAAAATAATTTAACAGAGAGCAAGGGAGAGGAAGAGAGAGATAGAAACGTCAATGACGAGAGAGAATCATTAATCAGCTGCCTCCTGCACGCCCCACAACCTGGTCATGTGCCCTTGACTGGAATCAACCCCGGGACTCCTCAGTCTACAAGCCAACACTCTATCCACTGAGCCAAACCAGCTAGGGCCAGAACTTTCTCATCCTGCCAAACTGAGGGCCTATAGCCACTAAACAGCTCCCCATTCCCCACAGCCCCTGGCAACCACCATGCCACGACCTGTCTCTATGTCTTGCCTATTCTAGGTTGGAGCTGTCCTATTTCTTTTTTCTTTTATTTGGTCTGTTTTTAATGTTTTTATTGATTTTTGGAGAGAGAAACATCCATCTGCCACCCTCTATTGGGGATGGAGCCCACAACCCAGGCATGTTCCCTGACTGGGAATTGAACCAGTGACCTTTTGGTGCATGGGATAATGCTCAACCGACTGAGCCACACTGGCCAGGCCAGGAGCTGTCCTGTTTCTGAAAGCTCATCTCTGCTTTTCTGTTGAGCCATCTGTTTTCAGTGTCGATAGAACAAGTTTGGGCAGTCAGGGCTGCAGGAGTTGGGGGAGGCCAGGCTCTTCAGAGGTGGTGTGGTCAGGGAAGGTGGCCTGGAGGTAGAGGCATCAGCCTTTGCCCTAGGTGGAGAGACAGTGCGGAGGGTGACTCAGAGATGCTTGGCCCCTGTGGCTTGCCCTTTGGTTTATGATGGCCACTTCAGCAGTACCAACCTTTGCCCCCAAGGGAGCTCCCATCAGCTGGGTGGAGGCACCAGGTCATCTCAGAGACCAGTGACTTGCTAGGGCCGGGAGCAGTCCTGCGTGTACAAACCATGGGGACAGGGCGACGCAGCCAGTCCTTGCGAGGCCCACGGCCCTCCTATGGCAAGCTCCAGGAGCCTTGGGGGAAGCCCGGGGGAGGCCAACTGCATCGGGCACTGAGCCTCAGAGAGGGTCGTGAGAAGTCCAGACCCTCAGATCGAGGCCCAGAAGGACTGGACTCGTCCTTTGATCAGGAGCGGCGGCCAGGAGGCCTGGGGGACACGGAGCAGCTGATCCAGGCTCAGCAAGGAGGCAGCCGGAGGTGGCTGAAGCAATATCAACAGGTCTGACGGGCGGATGGATGGATGGATGGATGAGTGTTACACAGTGAGGGTGGGGACTCTGAGGAGTGGGACCCCGGGCAGCAAAGGCTCAGAGGTAGAAACATACGGTGCCAAGAACCAAGAAGACAACAGCTTTTGGAGATGAGGCTGGAGAGAGAGGTATCCAGGAACCATATTTCAGAGGCCCTGACAGCATTTGGAATTTATCCCGTAGGCACTGGGAGTCACGGAAAGTTTTAGCCCGTGGTATAGTCAGAGCTGTTCTAAGATGATTAATCTGGCAGTGTGATGGACGGGTGGATTTTGCTGGAGGCAAGGAGATCAGCCAATACAACTTCCCGGGGTTATATCTTGTGTTCCCTGTTCCCGGGAAAAGGGGGGATCCAGCTGCCCTGGGTGGGAGCTGCTCTCCGGGCCCCTGCCTCCTCCTGTGGAAGAAGGGGGCCCCCAGTGCTTCTATCTCTGGGGTCTACCACCACCTTGTGGCTGTCGATGGAACAACACCTGAAACCCACCACTCCACCCTGGGGCCTGTGTCCTGATTTCCGGCTCCTCTGTCTTCCAGCAGGTGAGGAGGCGGTGGGAGAGCTTTGTCGCCAGCTTCCCCGCCGTGACCCTGAGCAGGCCGGCCTCCCCGCAGCCCCCTCTGGGCACCACCAGCTAAGGATGCTGGAAGCCGCGCGGCCCCTGCTGGACTCATGAGACGACGATATCTACTGACCCACCTCTTCATGGCCCTGCTGGACTGTGGATGAAGGGGCCTCCTCTACGGGGACAGCTCTGGCCTTCCTCACCCGGCCCCGAGGCCCCTGGCACTTGCTCGCTCAGGGCCCTGTGCTGCCCTCCGCTCTGGTCTTCCATGCCCAGGCTCCCTCGCAGCGAAGACCCCTCACGCGGCTGAGAAGAAGGGAGCTCCGTTCCTTCCTGGTGGATTCTACCCTCTGGAGAATGTCACGGAGCCCCCCCCCCCCCCAACAGTGACATGTAGGAGGGCCTTAGAAGCCTGCCCAGACGTGGGGGTGTCGCCGCCCCTGGTCCCCACACAAGACCAGTCGCAAACCTTCAGGACAGAGCTCGGTGAAGCCAGAACCATGGCTGAGAGGCTCCCCAAACTGCCCTGTCACTGGGCCATGTCCCTCCTGCCCTTCCTTCCTGCCAGCTGATGGCAGTGGGGCGGGGGGTGGGGGGGCATGGGCCTCTCTCACAGCCTCTGAGCCCCCTGAGGGCTAGGAGCGGGTCTGGGTGGTCCTCGGTGCCCACACACTGTGGCTGACAGGCTCAGGCCCGGATATTGTCACTTCGGTCCTTACAGTATCCCAATGATGGAAGCAGGGGAGGCCTTCCCTCCCCTGTGACAGAGGGGGAAACTGAGGCCCAAGGAGGGGGAAGAGATTGTTATCTTTGGCACCTCTGGCCCCGCCCCACCCAGTTCCCAACACTGGGGTTGAACACAGGAATAAAGGTTGCTGAGGTGACATAAACGATTTGCCTGATGACTAACTCGCCTCTACGCCTCTCCAGCTCCTGTGGGGTCAGGCCGGGCCCAGAACTTCCCAGAATGGTGGTGCGGGGGCACCAGGGGCAGGACCCCCTGCCCAGCCCAGATCCCTGGGAGGCTGGTCTTCCTGCCACTTCTCCCCAGAGGCGCTGCCACCTCACCCTGTGCTGACGCCAGCGCCTTGCCTTTGTGCTCTGCCCTGTGAGGCTCAAAGAGGGTGAGGGCTCACCCATGGCCACACAGAGGGAGTGTCTATCCCCAAAGCGCCCGAGCCCTTTGAGGGACACTGGCACTTCGTGGGTGGTCCCTGGGGTTCTTTTGGTTCAAGTAGACCCAAGTTCAAAGGGGAGGGAGCAGCTGGTACAGGTCTGTTCTGGGGTCGTGGGGGGACCTGAGGATCTAACGGACAGAGGGGAGGTGCCCCATTTCCCAGAGCCCAGGGCCTGGCAGGGCCTTTGAGGAGCAAGAGGGGTCCTTGGTCTGAGACTGCCACTGGGATCAGAGACTGGGATGCTGGCCCGGAACTTGGACTCTGGGAGCTGACTGGAAGCTTCGGGCCCAATTAGTCACAACTTTAGATGTCCTCGGCCCAGCCTCTCAGACCACCGGTTGGCGACCACTGTTTAGAGAATGAGAGATTGGGCCGAAGTCACCCTCTGAGTTGGTGGCTGATCTGGGCCTGCAGGGCCTGGGTCTGGGGGCTCCCCCTAAGGCAGGACACTTCTCCCCCGGCCTCATCAGCAAACCCATCACCTGGAGCACATCCGGGGCCCTGGGCAGAGGCTGTCATCAAAACACACGCAGACTCTGACAGGCTGCTTCCGTGGCCTCGGCCGCCCCTCCCACGCGCACGCCTCTCGCACTGTGTCTTCGCCACACCTCCCGTGAGACAGGGATGCAGTTTCCCTCCCCTGGAATCTGGGTGTGTCCTGTGCCCTTCTCTGACCAATAGCAGGCAGTGGAAATAGCGTGCTGGGCCACCTGGGCCCATAGGCCCTAAGAGGCTTTGCGGCTGCCATGGGAAGGGGTCCAGGACATCCTGCAGGTGGGTTGAAAGGTGGCCCCCAAACAGATATGACCATGTCCTAATCCCCAGCACCTGTGAATTTTACCTTATTCGGAAAAAAGATCTTAAGGTTCTTGAGTTGAGGAGATCAGCTTGGATTCGGAGGGGAGAGGCCTAAGTCCCATGACACGTAACCTTATCTCGGAGACACACGGAGGAAGAGAGGAGAAGGCCATGCGAAGATGGAGCCAGAGGTCGGAGTGATATGGTCTCACGCCCAGGAAGCCAGGGATTGCTGACAGCCCCCAGAAGCTGCAAGAGTCAGAAGGGATCCTCCGCTAGGACCCCCAGAGGGAGCTCGGCCCTGCCAGCGTTTGATGTCAGACTTCTGGCCTCCGAACCCTTGAGAACTCGTTTCTGTGGTTCTGAGCGACCTGGCTCAGGCTCCCGACATATTTACTGTGAATGATCCCCCTCCCCCACCCCGTGCCTCCCCACAGGTGCCCTCTTCAGGCCCCGCGTGTCCTGGCTTTGTCTGCACTTAAAGACGTCACTCTCAGGGGGTGGAGAGGACACTGAGCCTCAGGTCAGGCTCTGTGACTGCCACCCCCACACTCACACCCTTGGGGCCTCAGTTTCCCTATCTGAGAGAGGATAACCTGGCCTTGCGGCTTTTGGGGTGGGGTGAGGGGACAAGAGGAGGTGTGGGTCCCCACTGAGCTGGTCCAGAGCCACAGCCAGGGCTGCGGTGAGAAAGGGGAGAAGGAGCAGGTGTCAGGTGCTTCCAGGTGGGTCACACCCGAGCCTGGAGCGAGCAGACCTCAGAGGACATGGCAAGCTTCACGCGTACACATGGGGGATGCGCCTTCTTGTGGAGGCGTCCCTGGTGTGCGTGGTCAATGCGACCCATGCAGAGAGCTCACCATGCAAATGCCCTGGGCGCTGAGTTTATCCACCCTCAGGCCCCGTCTGCTCAAAGGTCACAAAAACACATTCTTGCTGAGTCAGTTTCATGCTTCTTTGTTCTATTTTGGTTGCACACGGAGGGCAGAGACACCCAAACCTGTCCCACGCCATGAGGTCTCAGAGCCAAGAGGAGGGGCCTGGGACCCCTCATCCATCTACCCCCCCCCCCCCCATACACACACCCTCTATTCTCTCCTCTCCCTGCTCACCATCCCGGCCACAGCCTGCCTCTCCGCATGTGTTTCCAGAACTGGGGAGCTCACTACTGATCGAGCTCTGATCTTTCCATGTGACCTCTGCCCCCAAGGAGCTCACAGTCCTGCCGGAAAGAGAGACAGACCAACCAACAGACAGACCGACGAATGACCAGCTGCTCTGCTAAGAAACAGAATGGCGTCAGTGCTCACAGGGCCAAGAGAGGCCGCTTAAGGGGGAGGGCCTGACTCCAGGACAGAGTGCCGCTCTGGGCTTGGCCCACACCTTCCCCAGCTTCCTGTGGCCGGAGGCCACACCGGATGGGAGGGAGGAGGCCGCGAGCAGGTGGGAAAAAAGATGCTGCAAGAGAAATGGGGCCACTCGCTGTGCTAATGGGGAAAGCAATGAGGCACGCAGAGAACACCGCATTCCCAAGCTCCCCCTGAGCGAGGGCTGCCAAGTCAGGCTGGATGGGCCCCCAGAGCCCCACAGACCCAGGCTGCTTATTTCACAGCGAGCCGGAGGCAAAGCTGGGCCCTCGCCCAGGCTCCTGCCTCGCAGCCCAGAATCCACGCCCCTGAGTGCCCAAAGCCCCTTTCCTCAGGACACCACACCCAGCGCCCCACCTGTCCGCGGGCCAGGGCGGGCCAGGCCTGGGTGTTGAACCTGGGGCCCAAGCCCTGCCCGCACCTAACTTGCTGAGTGACCTAGAGCAAGTCTTCATTCCTTCCTCTGGGGGTAGTGATCTCTGCATCTCCCCTGGGCGGGAAGGCAGGACAGGTGCCAAGGACGCAAACGGTGTGCAAACTGGGGTGCTGTGACCTGGCAGGGAACACCGTGTTGGCCCTCATCCTCATCGCCGTCGTCATCATCAGGCTGGAGGGCTAAAAGCCTGAGTTAGAACCCTGGCTCCACCGCTCACTACCCGGGTGACCTTGGGCAAGTCGCTTAACCTCTCTGTGCCTTGGTTTCCCCCGTCTGTTCAGTAAAAATAATAACAGTCTCTCCTCACAGGGTTGACCCTGTGTGTCCCTGGGCAGTCCCCTTTCTGGGCCTGGGCAGCCCCTCCGGGAAGTGAGGGTGTAATAATAGCAGCGTCTGGGAGATCGCATGGGCCAAGGCACGCATGTGCTGAGCCCGGGGCCAGCCCGCGGGAGCACCGCTCAGTGGCAGCCTCGGGAAGCCTGACCCTCAAGCCCAGCGTGTCCTCAGCTTACCTTGGCCTTGGCAGGGCTGCGGGCACCAGGCTCCAGGGAAGCGGGCCGAGCCGCAGACCAAACGGCTGGCCGGCCGCCCTGGGCCTCTCAGGAGGTGGTCTCAGGTTAGTGCCAGGGCCAGGATGAGGCTGGGAGAAAGCCCGTCTCCTCACCCCGCCCACTGTGGCAGCCACCACCCCTGCCCTGCCCCACCACCCCTTCCTCCTCTGAGATGCAGGCACAAGCAGTCAATTCAGCCAACACTCAGCAAGGCTTTCAGAGCCCTGCTCGGTGAGGACTTGAGAGTCCACCACGCTGACTGCCATGTTACTGACCCAGCACCCCCTGCTGGCTCAGGGGGCAGGGGTGCCCAGAGAAGGGCACGGTTAGCTCTTACAGGGTGGGCACCAGAGGAGGCTGCCTGAGGAGCAGCTAGCAGAGCTGGAACTATTGGGGAGGGCACGCGCAAAGGCAGGGAGACGCCAAACAGCTGGACCGTTCGGAGATCTGGGCGCAGCTCAGTTCTTCGGGGGAGGAGAGAGGGACTGGGGGAAGTGAGGGCAGTCAGATAGACAAGGGAGGGGATAAACGGCCCGAGACGGCCCTTCCCCTGGGAGCCCCTCCGCACTGTGCCTTCTGCATCTCTTCCATCTGGACCCTTCATTGTAGCCTTTAGAATAACCCCGTCAGCACCGCGTTTCCCTGTGTCCCATGAGCCTTTCCAGTAAATTACGGAACTTGAGAAGGGGGTCTGGGAATCCCCCATTTACAGCTGGTCAGACAGAAGCCCAGGTGAGAACCTGCAACTTACGACTGGTGTCTGAAGTGGGGACCATCTGAGGGACGGGGCGCTGGCCCCGTGGGGTCTGTGCTAACTGGGCAGTTAGCGTCAGAACTGAATTGTAGGACACCCAGGTGGTGTCCGGAGAGCTGGAGAACCGTTCAGGATGAGGGGGGAACCCATACATTTGGTGTCAGAAGCGCTGTGGAAATAGAAATTATGTTTCTCTTAGATGGTTACAGGAAGTATTTCAGGGCGAAGGGGCTTGATGTTTGCAACCTCGTCTCACATGATTAAAATATACAGACTAGAGTCGATAAAAGAGTGTGGCGATAAAGCAAGCGTGGCAAAAACTGGCAAATCAACGTGAAGGGCACCTGGGCGTTCACTGCACTATCCTTGCAACTTTCCGCAGGTTTGAAGTTTTTCCCAGATGAGAATTGATTTTAAAGCGACGTGATCACCTCGAGGCAATCAGACAGCCTGTGGCCCCTGATGGGAGAAACAGGCACCTGAAACGTTCTTGCCAAAAAAGGTGGGGCCTGCGTCTTATCAAACTTGTAGATCCCACTCCTGGGTGTGCACCCTGGGGGCAGAGGAGCCTGTGAAACTGCATGGGGGCTGCAATCAGCAGGGCCCAGACCCGGTCATCCCCCCCCCCTTCCCCGGACACCGGACACGCTTTTTCTTAACAGATAAATGGCAGAAGAAAAGATGGAGGGGGAACTCTAGAGCAAAGAAAACCGGACCCCCCCCCCAAAAAAAATAAATGAATAAAACCTGACATGTTAACCAACTGCAACACAT